TTGTACATATATATATCATACACCGAATATATATATATATATATATATATATATATATATATATATATATATATATATATATATATATATATATATATATATATATATATATATATATATATTATATTAATGATTAAAAATGAAAAATTCTCGGCTTAACAAAGATGGGATTTCCCCAGAAATACTGAAATTTGTACATTTCGTCAGATTTGGGAAATTCCGCTATCGAAAAATACAACCCCGGCTATATATATATATATATATATATATATATATATATATATATATATATATATATATATATATATATATATATATTGCATAGTTATTCAAGAGAAAACATGTATGAAAATATGTCTAAAAGTGATTATATGTACGGAACATTGAACGAGACAAAATTGTGTACAATTGTATTTGCTTCTGCTCCACAGTAAGATCACACTAATATTCATTTACACAGATCTCTCTACAGTATATATATATATATATATATATATATATATATATATATATATATATATATATATATATATATATATATATATATATATATATATATATATTGTCATTACTACGTCGGGGTGTAAATAATAGTAAACTTGTTTTACTAGAACAATAACGACTGAGCTGTGAGTTCGTTCCTCACTGGATGCCCCGCTTTTTCGACCTTGTACCACAAATAAAGTAAACCCGAAAAAAATCTGCGTACATAGGGCATTGTGTGAGTCTATTATGATGTGGATATAATCTATCCAATCAAACATGTGCTGGTACTAACATTTGAAAATGTCATATACACAATATTTTAACACCTACCTAGCTCCAATCATTTTTTTTTGTTTGTTTGTCTTCAATCACGAACGCACGTAAAGACTTAAGAAAGCATGCACACATACATACACACACACAAACAAACAATACAGACAGATAGGGAAGTACACTAAAATATCCTCTTTATCTAAAAAGAAAAACCACACCCAAGTCTTTCAATTTCTTTCTCATTACTTTTTCCTGTTCCCATAATACGCCTCCACGCCGCCTAGCTATTATATGCATATTTTCTTTGCTTTTTTTTTTCATACTTTATTTCTTTCTTCATTTGAATCTTTTCTTTTTGTCTTGACTAAACTTATTATTTTCTTTTTTCTTATTTATCGCTTTCTCTAATCTTCTTCCAAAAGAAACATTTTTGCTTTCATATTCTTCCGTTAATTTCATTACTTTTTTGATTTTACTTTTAAAAAAAAACCCATACATTTTTAATTCATTTTTCTCAACCTCTCGCCCTCCCCCTCCCTGTACCGTTTTCCCTTTTTAGTACCCGTGTTGTCAATCAGTTCCTTCAAACTATTCTACTAATATATTTAGTCTTTCAATCTGTCAACCGTTTTAAACTTTATTCTATTCTTTTCTATTTTCTGTCATTTTTTTAAAAAAATTCTCTTTTCGATGTTTACCATTTTATCCTCATATTTTCTTCTCTTGATCTTCAACGATGGCCGACCTTTCTTTTCTTTTCTATCCTGTTATAGAATCTGCACCTCTGTTGTTTCCTAATAAACCTCCTCCAAAACGCTATCACTGATCGATCTATCTATCTATCTATCTATCTATCTATCTATCTATCTATCTGCTTGTCTGTATATCAGCGTGTTTCTCTATAAATCTCTCTTCATATCTATCTATCTATCTATCTATCTATCTATCTATCTATCTATCTATCTATCTATCTATCTATCTATCTGCTTGTGTGTATTTCTGTCTGTTTCTCTATAAATCTATCTTCATATCTATCTATTTCTCTCTCTCTCTCTCTCTCTCTCTCTCTCTCTCTCTCTCTCTATCTATCTATCTATCTATCTATCTGATTCGCACTCAGATACGCATCCATCCCAAACACACCCACCCGTTCTATTACGATCTACGCAACGTAACACTGTGCATTATTCGGCTGGCCTCTGCTCATACCATACCATACCCAGATGTGAGAGTCGACCATATTTTCATAATTGAGATTCAGTTGGTTATGCCTGACCCCTAGATTGTGATTAAAGCTGTTACTCCAAGACGCAATCGGATAGCGCCCGGGGTTCGAGCCGTGCCGTACTAATTAGCTATGGGCAGAGAGCAAGGTCTTCTGTTTTTAATTCCTCCTTTTTCGTCCTCATCAAAACATCTTACCCACCTCATCAACACTGCCTCCTAAGATCTTCGCTAAGAATTTCCACTAACAAAGACGCCACACATTACTCCAGTAATATAACTTACAAACATAAACAAGGGGGAACCGCCTTTTATTTCGACCCTTTCTTAAAAGTTGCCCTTTCATCCTCCTCCGCCTCCTTCTCTCCCTTGTTCGTGACGTCCTTCTTCCCCTCGTTTTACCCCTTCTCTCTCTTTGCTTATACCAAACATTTTTGCCCTCTCTCTCTCTCTCTGACACTTATGCTCTTTCTCCTCCACCTCCTACCCTTGCTACTACACCCATCATATATTAAGAACGGCTAAAATTAAAGCAGAAATACACAAAAAAATATATATATGTAAGAAAACAAAGGGGAGAAATTGAAAGAAACAATAAGTATATATATATATATGTATACACACAGAAATATATATATACATACATAACAATATATACATACATTTGAGTAATACAACATACATATATATATATATATATATATATATATATATATATATCAGAACATACATGCATATATATATAGGTATATATATATTTATATATATATATATATATATATATATATATATATATATATATATATATGTATGATATATGCAGGTTTTAGATACACATGTATTTAAAGATAAAATACATAAATATATTTATATAAAGAAAAAAACATACGTATATATATATATGTACATATATATATATATATATTATATATATATATATATATATATATATATATATATATATATATATATATATATCAGGATATATTGATAATTTTAACATTTAAATTTAAATATCAAAAACACACATATATACTTTATATACGTACACACACACACATACATATATATATATATATATATATATATATATATATATACGTATATATATATATATATATATATTAGTATATATCAGGGGTAAATTTTGTTTTGTCTATAGTATTTATACTTAGACATGGATAAATTAATAAGAACGTGTGTATACTGAAAGTGACATAGATATATCCAATATATATGTGTGTCTGTGTGTTTGCATATATAATGCGTATGTTTGCATATATATATATATATATATATATATATATATATGTGTGTGTGTGTGTGTCTGTATGCGTGAGTGTGTTTGTGTGTGTGTTTAATAATCACGTAGCTATGACCTATCTGTATATGCATGTTTAATATATATGTATTTAATTTTATGTTCTTACACTCAATCACTCTCTTTCCTTCTCTTTTCCTCTCCTTACACACACACACACACATACGAGCATTGGTTCACGCTCTCTCTCTCTCTCTCTCTTTCTCTCCCTCTCTCTATTTGTGTGTGTGTGTCTCTCTCACATACACACACAGACATATCTAGGTATATAAGTAAAACAAAATAAAAATGACCAAATAAAAATAAAATAAAATAAAATGTGACGGGTGGGTGGAAGAAAAAGGTTGAGATTGCAAGGAGCTGGAACCCAGCCAAACAGCCTGAAGAGAAATTAGATCGCAATGATTAATGATGCATCCCAGATGGAAGAGACCCCACCCCAAGTTCTTAGTCTTCTTCTTTGTCCTATTCTTTGACACTTTCATCGCCACCGCCGCCATCTTCTTCATTTAGTTTAACCTTCATTCACCTTTTTTTTTCCTTCACTGTCAACTCTTCCTTTTTTTTAACGTCCATTTTCTTTTTTCGTTGTCTTAATTTTCTTCCTCGTTTTTCCATTAGTCGTTTACATATTCTCTTTTTTCTTTCTTTCGCTTTTTCCTTCCTTCCTTCTTTACTTTCTTCCTTTCTTTCTTTCTTTTATTCATTCATTCATTCTTTCTTTCTTTTTTTTTTTCAAAATCTTTTGTAGATTTTTATAAACTTTTCATTGTTTCTTTCTTTATCTTTTCTTCCGCCACATCGTAGCTCTGCTCTTCTCCCCATCCTTCACATTTCTTTCCTTGGTTCTTTTCCTTCAATTTTTCTTTCTATTTTTTTTTTTTTTTTACATATGCTCCTTTTCTAATCCCAGAAGTGTTTCTTTAAAGCTTTCGTTAATTTCTTTTTCTTCTTTCTCCCAATCTGTGCTGTTCTCCATCACCTCCACCTCCATTTTCCTTTCTTTTTCTTTTTTCTTTTTCTTTTTTCTTTTTTCTTTTTCTTTCTTTCTTTCTTTCTTTCTTTCTTTCTTTTTCATTTTCCCTTTTAAATCTCTTTTATATTTATATAATTTCTTGTTATTTATATTTGTTTTCTTCTTCATTTTCTTAATCTTCTCATCTATGCTCGCCTTCTCCACCCTCTTCTATTAATTCTTTCCTTTCTTCCCCACTTTCTTTCTTTCGTTTTTATTTTTTAACTCTTTCTTTTTTATCGTTTTAACTTTTTTCATTGTTTTCTTTCTTTTTTTATTTTTTAGCTCGTTCTTTTTTCATTGTTTTTTTCTTTCTTTTTCTTCTTTTCTTTCTTTCTTTTTTCTTTCTTTCCTCTGCTTTTTTCAAATACCATATAGATATTTTGAAATACCATACAGATAATTTTTTTTATTTATTCTTCTTCAATTTTCTCTTTATTTTTTAATCCTCTCCTAATCTATTCTCCTTCACCTCTTACTTCCCCCTTCATTTCTTTCTTTTTTAAACGCAATTTTTTATCCTTTTTATTTATTTTTATTCCATTCTTTCTTTCTTTCCTTCCCTTCCTTTCTTTCTTTCTTTTAGTCATTCTGTTTTCTTTCATCCATTCATTGTTTCTTTCTTCTTTTTTTTTTAACCATGTTTGTTTTTAAATTACTTGGAGATTAAATTTAATTTTTCGTTTTTTATTCTTCATTTTTACTTTCGTTTTCTCCCTCATCTTCTAATCTATGGCTCTTCTCGGCCACCTCCTTTCTTTCTTTATTTTTTCATTTTTTTTTTCATCATTTTTTCTTTCTTTCTTTTTCTTTCTTTCTTCCTTTCGTTCTTTCGTTCTTTCTTTCTTTCTTTCGTTCTTTCGTTCTTTCTTTCTTTCTTTCTTTCTTTCTTCAGTCCAGTCCATTCGGCAAATATTTCTTCCATAAACTTTATTTACTTTAGAATTCATCTTCCTTCTTCATTCTTCATCATTATCACTTTACCATTTTCTTTCTCAAACTCCGTCTCTTTATTCTGGATTATCGTTCTTTGAGTCCTTTAAAATATGATATTTTTTTTCTGTCATTAATTCTGTCAATATTTTTCTTTTTTTTTTTTCACGGCGTTTTCTTTCTTCGTTCTTGTTCAGTTTGCTTGTTTTTCTTTCTTTTTCTTTTTCTGTCTTTCATATTCCATTCCTACATCTTTATAATTTTTTTTTCGACATTTGTCTTCATTAATTTGTTCCTAAGTTTGTTATTTTTTTCGTTTTCTTTTTATCATTTTCTTCTTTTAATCAATCTTTCTTATCTCTTCCCTTTCATTTCTTTCTTGAGCTTCTTTTACACTGTTCTTGTTTTTTTAACCGAATATTTTTCTCTCTTTTCTTTTTAACATTCTTCTCAGTACACCCCTCTCCCCCTCTCTTATCAGTACCCCCCTCTCTCTCTCTCCTCTATACACCCTCTCTATCTCATTCGGTCATACATTCTTAATTTCAGATTCTTTCTCGATCACTCGTTTTCATTCGTTTTATTGTTCCGCATTATTTCCTTTGCTTCCGTACACCCGCCCGCCCGTCAAACCATTCTTTCTTCTCTATATTCGCTTTATTTTCCTTCTTTACCCACCCTGCACGCAACCATCTGCTTCCTTCGCCAATTCCTTACACCTTTTTCTCTTCCTTATCCTGTCATCATAATCACCATCGTCAGACACAATCATCATCAACAGTATATAAAAGAACAAAAAAAAGAAAAAAAAAAACACAACTGCGATCATCACCATCGTAAAAAGCATACATAGAACACGGCCACTATTATTACTTCCAACATCATCATTACAGTCTCCGACCCACCCTCCATCTTTTCTTTATTTTTTTCCCTTGTCTTTAGCACCAAAATCTATCTCACTTATCGTAGCCACGACCCTTATAGAGCCCTTGCTCGCCCGACGACCTATTCCAAATTCTTACCAATCTTATCTTCCTTTTTGTCTCACCATATATTTTTTGGTCTACAGATTTTCCATATTTGCAAGGCATCCATTTTTTATTCGCTAACCCCACCTCATATCGCATTATTATTTTTATTATTCTTTTGTATTTTTTTACTTTCAAATTTCCTTCGGATATACATAAATACTTTTATCCTTTCCTTTTCTTGACACGTTTTTTCTTTTTGTCTTTTTCTAGTTTCTTTCATTTTCTTACTTCTTGTTATACCCTGTTTCCTCCATTCTTTTTCTTCTTCTTCTTCTTCTTCTTCTTCTTCTTCTTCTTCTTCTTCTTCTTCTTCTTCTTCTTCTCCTCTCTCCTTTTCTTTATTTTTCATTTTTTATTTCCTTCCTTTCGACTTCTTCTCCTTCTTCATCGATTGTTCTTCAACGTGATTATCAACATCTATTTCTTCTTCTTCTTCTTCTTCTTCTTCTTCTTCTTCTTCTTTTTCTTCTTCTTCTTCTTCTTCTCTTATTTTCTCCTCCTCTCTCCTTTTCTTTATTTTTCATTTTTTATTTCCTTCCTTTCGACTTCTTCTCCTTCTTCATCGATTGTTCTTCAACATGATTATCAACATCTATTTCTTCTTCTTCTTCTTCTTCTTCTTCTTCTTCTTCTTCTCCTCTCTCCTTTTCTTTATTTTTCATTTTTTATTTCCTTCCTTTCGACTTCTTCTCCTTCTTCATCGATTGTTCTTCAACGTGATTATCAACATCTATTTCTTCTTCTTCTTCTTCTTCTTTTTCTTCTTCTTCTTCTTCTTCTCTTATTTTCTCCTCCTCTCTCCTTTTCTTTATTTTTCATTTTTTATTTCCTTCCTTTCGACTTCTTCTCCTTCTTCATCGATTGTTCTTCAACATGATTATCAACATCTATTTCTTCTTCTTCTTCTTCTTCTTCTTCTTCTTCTTCTTCTTCTTCTTCTTCTTCTTCTTCTTATTTTCTCCTCCTCTCTCCTTTTCTTTATTTTTCATTTTTTATTTCCTTCCTTTCGACTTCTTCTCCTTCTTCATCGATTGTTCTTCAACATGATTATCAACATCTATTTCTTCTTCTTCTTCTTCTTCTTCTTCTTCTTCTTCTTCTTGTTTTTCTTCTTCTTCTTCTTCTTCTTCTCATCCTCTTCTACTCTTTCTTCTTTTGTTTTCTTTATCATCACTTGCTTTTCTTTTTCCTCCTCCTCCTCCTCTACTTTCTTTTGT